GTTCTTGGTGTTGAAGATTGTGAGTTCAAGCCTCAGCTCGTGCAACATTTCCATATGAGAAATCTACCCAAACTTTTCATAAAGGTCCAGTCCCATGCCAGATGTCCTCAACTGGAAACACAAGACAATAGTCCTGATGGTGGCGCTACAGCAAGCCTCTAAATTTCAAAACTTTGAAAATTCATAACAAATCAACCATATGTGCTACAGCTTTGGAACTTTCACTTTGAAATTTGCTTTTCCATGGCATGGATGGCTACTGTCTGTGAAGCCACACATGAACTGTCACTTGCCAATTAGCTCAGTGAGCTAGAAGCTGGACCTCAGTCTCAGAAGTTGTGAGTTCAAGCCTCAGCTAAGGCAGAACGGACATTCTAATGTGAAAGTCCTATGTTCAGGCATCATGTTATGTGGATTAGAGACTACTAAGGTTAAAATAATTATGATCCAGGCAGTTTCGCAGAGAGACAAATACTCTTTATCAACACTTTTCCCTGTTATCCCTTGTCTCTTTTCCCTGTTTATTTGGCTTAGCTATCAGTTAATATGCAGAGTCTATCCAATAGCTACTTTTACATTTTAAAAACTGTTTTCATCTTTGTCACCATGGATAATGTTTAGCTTTAAGCTAGACCAGGCCAGTTTGTTCATAATTGCTAGTAGTTAATGTTATTCTTACTTTCTTGTTCTTGAGTTTTTTCTTTCCTTTGTATATTATGAGTCTCATCACTTCAGCCACTCATCCACAATTTGAAGGGCATGCCATAATTATATGATGTAACTTCTATGTTGTGATATGCTTTGTTTTAGTGTGTGTGTGTGTGTTGCTCAGAATTTTCTAATTTTGCCTAAAATTGCCCGGCCCCGACCATTGCTGCGCAGCAGCTATAATTTTAATTGCAGTTTTTCTTTTTTTTCCTCGACTGGGTTCTACCAACACTTCATGTGACCTGTGTCACATGATCTCTTGCACACTTGTCCCTAATGCATTTTATACCTTGATAAAAACTCTTTAGTTGAAACATGTTTGTTTATCCAGGGATTTTGTGACCCAAATCAGATCGTCTCAGATATTTGGACTGCCAGCCCGTATCACGGACTTTCACACTGAGTAAGCTGACCAGTCCTTTTTATCATTATGTGACTATTTGCCCTGTCCTTGAAGAGCACCTGATTTTTTACAATCGTCTACACAGTGTCTTGATCCAGTGCAGCTCTCTACACCTGCCAACCGTATCACCGCGTAGAAGGAAGTGTGCATCTACTGCTAGCTCACCTAGCACCACTGAGCTAGCTAACGTTACAGCTTAGGCAAGGAGGATGCCATTAATGTTAATATCTGGCATTGTCATGAGCTCGACTGTCTTGTCCATGAGTAGATGCATGCTTCCTTCTGACCGGTGATGGGGTTGGCTGGTGTAGTTCAATAGAAAGAAAATAGTTCCTAAATGAAACCGCTCACAACAAAGTCTGTGGGTTATCTTGCGTAATCGGGTTCATTCATGCTTAACGTTAGATACGGAGACTGAGATAGACTGAGCCTTCTGTACATACTCTGCATACAGTTCGCCGGTATTTGCTCATGTTTTCTAAAGGGTGTGAACGAAACGGAGCAGTACCACCTGAGAGATCATGGAGGCCGTGTAGCATATTTCAAGCAAGATATGACCGTGGGAGACGACAAAGAAGTTTAAATAATGACAGAACGGAATAAATTCATAACATAATGAAAAAAATCCTCCATCCACATGTTGCAATCTATTGAATGGCCTCACACACCACCGCAGTCTTTTCCATGTTTCTTCCGCCATCTTACGACCTCCTCCACCGTCACCTTGACTGTTGTGTGAAGCTTGACTCTCTAGTGCCATCTATTGGCCGTGTCTATGCCAACATAAAGGACATATGAAACTATGAGGGCAGTGACATTTAGGTTTGAAACTGATGTATCTTCCCTTATGTAAAGGAAGTTTAAATGAGCCTTCATCGGGTCATGATTTCTGTAAAGAGACATTGTTGTTGAGTTTTTCAAATGTATTTTTTGGCGCTTTGAGCACCACAAGCCGAGTGCCATCTAGTTCCATTATATAAGACAGAAGGCAGACATCTCTACGGCTGGTGTCTCCAACACTCGGCACCTCACACCAAAACAATCAAGCACCACAGGTCAGTGAAAAAACTATCCTTTAAGACAGTGAGTTATCAGGACATGTTATATTTGTAAGTCCCAACAGCCTGCAATCCTCATTTAAACTACAAATATCAAAGTTGGTGTTTTTACAGTGCAGCCTGCAGCAACAGCAACATCAAGGGAACGCTGTTTCCTCCCAAAGGTCACTCCTGCGATTGTCAGAAATAAATGTGAACAGCTGTTTTTCAGCACCAAATTTGTCTCATCTAACATTCAAAATATCTGATCAAGCCCCACAGTGTCTTTTCACGAGTGGTCTCCCTCCTGTTAAATTTATTATAATACACATTTCTCATGATCAAGGCTTATTTCCTCAACTCCTGAGCTCTAATCATAAACACTTTTCTCCACTCCACTTCATTCCCTTCAGGGCAACGCTCCACTTCATGGCTAGATTGAATATTCATAAAGACTCTTCCGATGTCAGATGACACACGGGCATCCGACTATGCTCGACATATGCATAAAATGTGCATTAACATGGTTTTATTCCTGTCTCGCTGACGTGGGGAGTGGATGTTTATAGGACTTTTAATGGAACCCATCCTTTAGAGTGGCCATCAGATTGCATGTAATCTGCCAAAGTCTCTTTGAAGATCACAATTTACAACATGCATGACTGACAGCTACCAAAAGTTATCTGATGCGGTGCACAGCAGCAGAGCAGTCTGGATTGTCTTTGCAGTGCTCTCCCTCCGGTCTGCAAGTATATAAATTGGCAAACACAGCGTGAAGCATATGGCTATTGCCCCCCAACAAATTTGTTTCTTTTTTATATGTGGCCTAGAAATTTCCTAAACCATAAAGACACAAAAATGTCCTCTGGGAGCGTGAGATACAAAGACATTTGACAGTCCATGGAAGCACATAATCAGTCATCGCACATCATTCCACTGTCTTGGCTCTAATTGCAAAGCATTACGACTCTCTAGCTCCATCTGTTGAGACATTTTCATAATTATAGACGAGACAGCTGTGATTATGGATACAGAAGTTTACAATCCAGCTAGAGGACGAGTGCTGGATTCTTGCGAGGCATTGTAGACACAAATGTCAGCAGAGATAATGATTCACTAGCAGCCACAGATTCTTATGTAAGCGCTGTAATTCTTCAAACATGCTTGACTGAATAAACTAATGAGGGCTGGCTCAACGTTCTCATTCATCTACTGAAACAATATTTTATACATCTGTCCGTTTTCTGCATATCTGCTTGTAATATTCAGGATCTTGAGAGGGTGATGCAGAGGGCAGATTTCACCAGTCTCTCGCTAACACACTTAAACACATTCACACCTCCAGCCAGACAGAACTTGTCAAATTCACTCAGGGAAACCTCAGGTGGCGCGTTTGGGTTCAACTAAGGGACCTCTTTGCCTTTTTTTTTTTTTTTTAGACACAGTGCTAATCTTGATTACTTAATTTAGCTTTGACAACTTTAATCTTTGAAAATGCCAGGCAAAAATAATGGGCCTAATGCAGAGGCAAACATTTATCTCTTTTGAGGGATGTCTTGGCAAGTTTACAGCAAGGATGTTTTGAAATGGAGCAATTATTCTGATGGTTTTAGTTATTTTAAGGCAAAAATGTCAAATTATTTTCTGGTTCTAGCCTCTCAAATGTGAGGATTTGACTCTTCATAGTGGTGCATGATAGTTAAAGGGAATACTTCATCTGTATAATGACCATTTGTTCATCAGTTACTCATCATGTTTCCCTGAATTTGTGATATTTTAAAGACCAAATATAAACTTTAGATGATGTTGGTGGCAGGTAGCAGACACACTCAAGCCTTTTGTGATGTAACCATGTCAATGAGTGCTTGAACAACACTTTACAGAGCTGGGCACACAGTTGCTGTGTTGCTCATAGTGTGAACACAGCATAAGCCTCAGTTTCAATTTGATTGCAGCCACAAATCCATGTGTCAGCACATAAAGTTACATTACCTTATAAAGTGGATATGCCAAACTTGTAAGCAAATGATTGCCTTCCACATCCATGACATACAAAGCAACATAAGCGTGAATCTGGAGTCTTGTTTGCATGGAGCCCACACTGTAGCTAACTGCACTCCCTGAAGAAATGTTATCATATTTTTGGAAAAATGAAATAGTGATTCCAGAGAGAAGCAGACAGAGGGGTCTACAGTCTGTGTTTGAAGGATATATCCAGGATGTCAAACTGACTCAGCAGCAACAACAGGTTAAAAAGACAAAGATAGTTAGAAGCTAAAGCCGAACTATAGGCTACAGATCACAGTGTAAAAGTGAACCACCACATCACTGCTGATCGCTACAGCAAACAATGAATATAAAGGGAAATTTGCCAATACTGAACCCGCTGTGTGGCATCGCAGTGTGTGCAGATGAATACTGTTTGGCTTCATCCCTGTGCCGCTGCCAGCACCTGGACCTATGCGACCAGATGGGCAAGGATCTCCAAAGCAAAAGCAGCATGTGTATACATTCAGTAGGCTATATCTTCAGTAGCTAGCTAGCTAACCCTACACTTTTCAGGGTTTGATTTTGGTTTTGGAACAGGGAATATCTTTTTCCAACCTCTCCAGGTAACGAGTATCATTAATATACGACATTAATATATAACATTTAGCTCCAAATCCACAAAACCAGCCTGAAAATGAAGGAAATCTGAAACAGCTGCATAAGAGTCAATGGAGCATAGCTGTGTTGTTGTTGGACCTGGTCTGAGCCGGCCCGATGCTACGTTATGATTGGCCAGTCTGCGTCCGGGGGCGGGACTTAGTGAAGGGTCATTTGTCAAAAAGATGCCTTTCAAACATTAGAAACAGGTTTGAAATCACTGTTTTATTCTCAAAGTAATGACATTCAACAAAAACACGTAAAACCTAAAACAAAAGTAAAAATATAGTAACAAATATTGTCATATCAAACAGGCTCTTTAAATGTGCCTGCTGAACAGTTTGTCAAAGTAAGACGAGATATTTCACACTTGATGTTAACACACAAGAGGATGTTTAAAAAAAATAAAAAAAGGTCGAAATGTATTCTAGTGAGGTGAATAGTAATAAATACCACGATTCTGGCACAAGAAAATGAAGTTGTTATACAAAAATAACATTATTGAATCAGGGAATTCAGGTTTGAGGAGTTTGGACATTTGACAGTTTCATAAGTTGTGCTGAAAAATCCGAGTGTTAACCGAAGTGTCCTCACTAGACAGTGTCTGTTCATGGCAACAAAGAACGGAGAAAATCCAACCGGTCTTATCTGTCTGGTCGCATCATGCCCGGCCTGACTGGCATCATCATCGGGCGAGGATGACGCATCATGTGTGGCGGTCCTGGCATCATCTGCATGGGTCCTCCCATCGGCGGCCTCATGCCTCCTAAAATGTGACAGTGAAGGGATGAATGGTGAATGGACTGGATTTCTACCTCACTGGACAAAGCGCTTCAATTTCTGCAAGCACTTTAAAATGTTGTGTGACACACGTTAGGAGCAGTTTTTTCTTACCTGGTCCACCGGGCATCATTCCATGTGGTGGAGGCCCCATCATGGGCATCATAGGCGGACCTCCCATAGGGGGCGTTGGTAGCATGCCTGGACGAGGAGGACCACCTGTGTGACAAACAGCAAATGTTAGTGTACAATCAAAATGACTAAGATTAACGTAATTTACATCAGATTCACATGTATCCCTGTCAATTGTTATATTTTGAGAGATTTATTTGCACTGTCTTCCAACTAACTAAACAGAAAAAAATGCACCTTTGTAACTAATCAATATCATGTTATTATATTAGGCCTCTCCCCTGTCGACCAACGTTAGTCGATAAGAAAGGTCATTAGTCAGCGAGATTTCATGGGTCACTTCGTCGCAGAAAAAAAACCCCAAATGTTAAACTCTATTAGGAGCTGCGTCTTGACAAAATAAATCAAAACCTATAGGACTGGACCATGTGGGAATTTAATTTGAAAGGACAGACACAGAAGAGGCCACGCTCAGCAGTCAGACAGGAGTCATGTTACAAACCAATCACAGCTGACGGATATCTTTCCCTTCTTCTGTAAATATTCAGTCTGATAAATACGGAAAAGTTGATCATGTTAGTGCAGGGCTACCCAGAGCTTTACATCTGTCCCACAGACGATAGGTCTACACACTTATAAACTGCGCCTGGAAGAAGATCAGCTCTGCACTCAGGATCGCAGGTTAATAGGTAAATGAAAGCTGGCACAAAAAAGGCACAAGAGTAGCGTCCAGCGCCCGATCTCACAGGATCGATACAGTGTAGCATCGCAATATTTTTGTGAGGCAATATCGTATCAGCGCATAATGCAGTTAAACTTCAGGGATATCAATCCGTCCATTTAGGTAGCACAAGTGATTGTAAATCAGTTTCACCTGCTTTCGTGCAAAAAAAAAAAAGAGTAACAACAGGTGCAATGGAGAGGCAATGGTTTTGCACATGGTGTCCACAGATAGTTGCTCTCTCCTTATCTTTCCTGGCTGATTCTTCTCTAGTTGTGTGTTCTGCTACTATTACGTTACTACTGGTAACGTGAGGCTGTACCTGCAGCCCAATCAGGTTGCACAGGAGAGCATACAGGCACGCGGGGGCCACACACACTACTTCGTCACATCATGAGTTGCCGTGATAAAATTCACACAGGTTGGATGAGCCTGTGATTTCAACTTTTCACCTTAATTGTCGGTGTGATTTTGAATCTAGCCCTCAGTGGGTTGATGAGTTTGGTTTCCATTGACCGTTGTTATGTCATTTTGTTCTCAACAAATTATCCAATGTATATCAGTAAAGATTATACTCAGAACATATTCAACAGTGACTATGATGTGTTTGCACAGTTTTGTGCATCAACATTATGTATCTATAACTAAGGGAAAACAACCAAATCTAAAAGAGAAATCCACTGTTGTACATGTTATGTTTAATAAATCACCCAAATTATGGGAAAAGAGTTACTTAATTTTTTTTGGCTGCTGTGCTGGTGACAATATACAAGGGACCAGTAAAACTCTACTGGCAAATTGGATCCAGTGGGGAGACATGTTGCCTTGGACACTGAGGTGTACCTACATTATTAAACCAACAATTCAGTGTACTTTTGCTATTTTTGACGAAGACATCTGCCAATTTGGCCACAAGTAATTTGGCCTTGGTGGAGCTCTATCTGTTGTCTCCCTGTGAAACATCAAAGTGCTGAAAGCCAGGCGTCTTTCATAACTTTAAAGTGCTGCTTATTTGTATTCAAAGGACACTCTGAATATAACTTTTATATTTACCTTTGTTTAAACAGAGCCATCCATAACAGTGTTAAGTAAAATGTAACAACACAGAGATGTGAAGGAAGACGCAGGTTGTAAAACAAAAAGCTAGTTTTCTTCAGCTTTCTATTCAGGTCCAGTAGTGAGGCAGATTTATCAATTTTTAATTAGTTGTTATCCCACAGGAACCGAAAGCTTCACGCTTCTGTTTANAAAAATGAAACAGTGATTCCAGAGAGAAGCAGACAGAGGGGTCTACAGTCTGTGTTTGAAGGATATATCCAGGATGTCAAACTGACTCAGCAGCAACAACAGGTTAAAAAGACAAAGATAGTTAGAAGCTAAAGCCGAACTATAGGCTACAGATCACAGTGTAAAAGTGAACCACCACATCACTGCTGATCGCTACAGCAAACAATGAATATAAAGGGAAATTTGCCAATACTGAACCCGCTGTGTGGCATCGCAGTGTGTGCAGATGAATACTGTTTGGCTTCATCCCTGTGCCGCTGCCAGCACCTGGACCTATGCGACCAGATGGGCAAGGATCTCCAAAGCAAAAGCAGCATGTGTATACATTCAGTAGGCTATATCTTCAGTAGCTAGCTAGCTAACCCTACACTTTTCAGGGTTTGATTTTGGTTTTGGAACAGGGAATATCTTTTTCCAACCTCTCCAGGTAACGAGTATCATTAATATACGACATTAATATATAACATTTAGCTCCAAATCCACAAAACCAGCCTGAAAATGAAGGAAATCTGAAACAGCTGCATAAGAGTCAATGGAGCATAGCTGTGTTGTTGTTGGACCTGGTCTGAGCCGGCCCGATGCTACGTTATGATTGGCCAGTCTGCGTCCGGGGGCGGGACTTAGTGAAGGGTCATTTGTCAAAAAGATGCCTTTCAAACATTAGAAACAGGTTTGAAATCACTGTTTTATTCTCAAAGTAATGACATTCAACAAAAACACGTAAAACCTAAAACAAAAGTAAAAATATAGTAACAAATATTGTCATATCAAACAGGCTCTTTAAATGTGCCTGCTGAACAGTTTGTCAAAGTAAGACGAGATATTTCACACTTGATGTTAACACACAAGAGGATGTTTAAAAAAAATAAAAAAAGGTCGAAATGTATTCTAGTGAGGTGAATAGTAATAAATACCACGATTCTGGCACAAGAAAATGAAGTTGTTATACAAAAATAACATTATTGAATCAGGGAATTCAGGTTTGAGGAGTTTGGACATTTGACAGTTTCATAAGTTGTGCTGAAAAATCCGAGTGTTAACCGAAGTGTCCTCACTAGACAGTGTCTGTTCATGGCAACAAAGAACGGAGAAAATCCAACCGGTCTTATCTGTCTGGTCGCATCATGCCCGGCCTGACTGGCATCATCATCGGGCGAGGATGACGCATCATGTGTGGCGGTCCTGGCATCATCTGCATGGGTCCTCCCATCGGCGGCCTCATGCCTCCTAAAATGTGACAGTGAAGGGATGAATGGTGAATGGACTGGATTTCTACCTCACTGGACAAAGCGCTTCAATTTCTGCAAGCACTTTAAAATGTTGTGTGACACACGTTAGGAGCAGTTTTTTCTTACCTGGTCCACCGGGCATCATTCCATGTGGTGGAGGCCCCATCATGGGCATCATAGGCGGACCTCCCATAGGGGGCGTTGGTAGCATGCCTGGACGAGGAGGACCACCTGTGTGACAAACAGCAAATGTTAGTGTACAATCAAAATGACTAAGATTAACGTAATTTACATCAGATTCACATGTATCCCTGTCAATTGTTATATTTTGAGAGATTTATTTGCACTGTCTTCCAACTAACTAAACAGAAAAAAATGCACCTTTGTAACTAATCAATATCATGTTATTATATTAGGCCTCTCCCCTGTCGACCAACGTTAGTCGATAAGAAAGGTCATTAGTCAGCGAGATTTCATGGGTCACTTCGTCGCAGAAAAAAAATCCCAAATGTTAAACTCTATTAGGAGCTGCGTCTTGACAAAATAAATCAAAACCTATAGGACTGGACCATGTGGGAATTTAATTTGAAAGGACAGACACAGAAGAGGCCACGCTCAGCAGTCAGACAGGAGTCATGTTACAAACCAATCACAGCTGACGGATATCTTTCCCTTCTTCTGTAAATATTCAGTCTGATAAATACGGAAAAGTTGATCATGTTAGTGCAGGGCTACCCAGAGCTTTACATCTGTCCCACAGACGATAGGTCTACACACTTATAAACTGCGCCTGGAAGAAGATCAGCTCTGCACTCAGGATCGCAGGTTAATAGGTAAATGAAAGCTGGCACAAAAAAGGCACAAGAGTAGCGTCCAGCGCCCGATCTCACAGGATCGATACAGTGTAGCATCGCAATATTTTTGTGAGGCAATATCGTATCAGCGCATAATGCAGTTAAACTTCAGGGATATCAATCCGTCCATTTAGGTAGCACAAGTGATTGTAAATCAGTTTCACCTGCTTTCGTGCAAAAAAAAAAAAGAGTAACAACAGGTGCAATGGAGAGGCAATGGTTTTGCACATGGTGTCCACAGATAGTTGCTCTCTCCTTATCTTTCCTGGCTGATTCTTCTCTAGTTGTGTGTTCTGCTACTATTACGTTACTACTGGTAACGTGAGGCTGTACCTGCAGCCCAATCAGGTTGCACAGGAGAGCATACAGGCACGCGGGGGCCACACACACTACTTCGTCACATCATGAGTTGCCGTGATAAAATTCACACAGGTTGGATGAGCCTGTGATTTCAACTTTTCACCTTAATTGTCGGTGTGATTTTGAATCTAGCCCTCAGTGGGTTGATGAGTTTGGTTTCCATTGACCGTTGTTATGTCATTTTGTTCTCAACAAATTATCCAATGTATATCAGTAAAGATTATACTCAGAACATATTCAACAGTGACTATGATGTGTTTGCACAGTTTTGTGCATCAACATTATGTATCTATAACTAAGGGAAAACAACCAAATCTAAAAGAGAAATCCACTGTTGTACATGTTATGTTTAATAAATCACCCAAATTATGGGAAAAGAGTTACTTAATTTTTTTTGGCTGCTGTGCTGGTGACAATATACAAGGGACCAGTAAAACTCTACTGGCAAATTGGATCCAGTGGGGAGACATGTTGCCTTGGACACTGAGGTGTACCTACATTATTAAACCAACAATTCAGTGTACTTTTGCTATTTTTGACGAAGACATCTGCCAATTTGGCCACAAGTAATTTGGCCTTGGTGGAGCTCTATCTGTTGTCTCCCTGTGAAACATCAAAGTGCTGAAAGCCAGGCGTCTTTCATAACTTTAAAGTGCTGCTTAT